ATTCTTGCCTCGATTCTCGGAGTCTAGGCTAGGAACCAGGCTTAAAAAAAAGGAGACGGGAGGCGTCGACCCTGGGCGGACTCGAAGCTTAGAGTCTGGGAACAAGATCGATTCTTTGAGTCCTCATTTGGACTCGAAAGAATCGATCCCAGAGTCGATCTTGCCCTGGCCTAGTTTGAAGTAATATCAAACAAGTATGATTTTTGAAATCACACATTACAACTTGTCAACGAGCACCAAATGAAGCTGCTACCAGCCTGAGCTATCATAACCCATAAATGATTTTGCTTGGGGAAAAGGTGTCTGTGAGAAAAATGTATGAGCCACACTAACACTCATTTAAATCACCACATGAGACGAATTTTGTTCATGGACAGCAAACGACCTCTGAAATGTAAAACTGCGTAACATGCATATTGAATAGAAAGTTTATTTCTCTTTTATGTTCATGTGCAACTTTGTCTATGTGAATTTTGAGATGTTTCATGTTGGCCTACTGTCAAAAAGAAAACATTTTTTTAGATTCAAAAGTATTGTAAGCATTAATAGTTATAGAGGCAGTTGTTTGCAATATTTTTACTTCTTTGTTTATAAATTTGATTGTAAAAGAGGGCTAAGTGTTTTAAAGACACCTGGTGACTTTGTCATTCATTTTCCTTCATTTGATTTCTAGACAGATGTTTACAGCATTTTGCTTCTTTTATTGTAAAATGATGGTCTAAAGGCCAATTGTTCAAGACAATTACTTGTACAAATAACCACCTCTCTCTTCCCTTTTGCATTTTTGAAAAAATACTATGTCACTGTCCAAGAATCCACATGTCTACGAGAATTACATTTTTCCTCAACAATGAGTGGCTTTATTGGACAATTTTGAGTGTATATCATTCAAGTGCTGCTAGTTTATTCTAAAAAGTAATGTGACTTGCACTGTCATTTTATGTTCCTTCTTGTGTTTTTTTTTTTCTCTACAGGGTGAAACTTTTGAGTGGCCTGAGAGGGTTCCCTTCAGACTGACCCCAAACATGACTGCAGCTCTGGTGAGTGACCCATGTCCATTTGCTGGGTTCTCTCCTTATATCCTTTTTCTTTGCCTTCACCTACGTATTCATGTTCCAAATTAAATTTGCACTTTGTAATCCTTTTCATTGTTGTTCACGAGGAGTGAAATGTTTTATCGTTACGATGGAAATTTTAAATAGGAGGAATTGATTTATATCCCAAAGCCTTTTTTGTTTGGGGGATTTTTTGTTTTGTTTTGTTTTGTTTTTTGGTAAGAAAATGTTGTGTTTCAAACTTTTATGTTTCAATCCTTGAAGAGTAATTTTTGTACCTATAGCAATACATCCATGTAGTCATTTTCTGCTCTTCTCAGTTTGTTTTTCAAAGTGTGTCTGTGGGTGGTGGCCGGGGTTTCTGGTGTGGTTTGCTGCTTCTCTCCTATCAAACATCTATCCTCCTTATCTCTTCTCCTTCTTTTTTGTGTTTATTACTCTCTTATGACACCTCTGATCTTTGGCACTTATATTATATGATCAAACTGCTTTGCAAGTGCTGTAAAACTCTTACTAATACTCTCCTACTCCTCCTTTTTTGTGTTTGTTACTTTCTTGTAACACCTCTAATCTTTGGCACTTATTTGACCAAATTGTGTTGCAAATGCTGTAAAACTCTGATAATAATACTAATACTACTAATCTAATACTCTCCTCCTTTTTTGTGTTTATTACTCTCTTGGACACCTCTAATCTTCAGCGCTTATTTGACAAATTGTATTGCAAGTGCTCTAAAACACCTACTAAACCCCCGAAAAACTCTTGTGTGTTCACTGAGCTCAGGGGCCACTGGGCTATGAGGGCTTGTTCCGGCGGGCCTGTGAGATGACGCTGCAGGTGATCAGAGACCAGATGGATCCGCTGATGAGGTGAGATTGTTGGGATGAGATTGGAGGCCACATGGTGCAGTCAGGCACTCGTCAAAATGATGAGAGAGATAAAAGATGTCGCCATTTTTCTGCCGGTCTGGCAATTTTAGTCGAATTTTTATTTTTTAGTTCAACATCTTTTATGTCCATATAAAGACACATTTATGGGTTGATTTTACTTTTTTTTTAAATGTTGATTAAAGGCACAAAAAAAGTACATGTTCAGTTTTCAAGGGCTCTGAAACTACGGAATTCACCAAACTTTGGCAGCCATTTTCTTGCCAATTTTTCCTCTAAAACCAGGCAAACCCCACCTCATCTATTGCGAATATCTCGACTTTTATTCAAAATAGATGGGGGTTTTTTTTCATCAGAAGATAGACAAATAAACAAGCTTTAAGATGATACCAATAACTGCACTCGCTCAAAGACTGATGAGCGCCTGATCCCACCATGTCTTGACACAAATGATAACTGCTGGCTTGGTGTATAGAAGCCCCCTGTAACACAATTTGGATCATTTATGAGCTGGGTTGCTTCAACCCGGGATGAGTGGGATACAGCGTCCCAGCAGACGGATAGGGATGCTGATTAACCCTATCCGTACGCCTTGAGGTCATTTTGTACACCCGGGGTTGTATTCTTCACATTTTAGAATACTTCTAGTGTGAAGATCTCTTTGAAACTTTCAGTATTTCAAAGAAAATCATTTTGACAGACTGCTAGGCAAAGCGTACAGATCGGATTAACGAGTAAATTTCCTATTTGGAAAGTAGTGGCACAGAGTTCCCCACGTCGTATGGATACAATAGTAAAACACGACGTAGGGATAGAGTTAACAAAAAAATTCGCTCACATAGAGAGAGAGCATCTAAATCTAAGCAGAGAAATGAGGTCACTGGTGTCTGTTTCAGATGTGGCACAAAAACTACCGTAAGCTGACAAAATGCCTGTTTAAAAAATTCACAGCAACTTTGAGAAAAAGATGGGTTTTTTTGTCAACGTAACTGTTGAAAAATAGAGTACATCTGAAACTTGAATTCTAATTTATTAAAAAACTAATGACAGTTTCACTTCGATTGTTTTCACAAAAGTAGGGTAACTAGTCAGGCGTTCGATTAAGCGAATAAACATTTTTGGAGCCAAAATACAAAAAGGCGTATTGTCAGCTTACGGCCGTAAAGAGGATGTTAATCCATACAGTCAAAAGTGTTCATCATTGAGTAGAAAAGTGGTTGTCTTAAAACAGGTGAAAGTCTTGGATAGTGTCATTTCATGTAGAAAAAACGCGGGGGGGGGGGGGGGGGGGGGT